CTTAATCTCACACATGAGCGAAAGCAAAACGAAATACACAGATAAATGAAGCAGCTCAGGTGCTGTGATCCGCTCTTCGCCCCCCGGCGTGACGTCTGTACTGACCATGTTCCCCTCAAAGCCCCCCCCTGACTGGGGGCTCACACTCTAACAGTGTGTGGCCCAAATGGAGTCAAGAGCCACGTGGCTCTGACACAAAACCGGGAGAAACTATTCAGTGTGTGCGAGGAAAATACGAGCAATGTGGGTACAATGAGGAGCACATTGGGGGGGGGGGGCACGCCTCCCCCTCACTGGTGCTCACATGTTTTCCATGCTGCATGGACAGGGTTGCTGTGGAAACTGTGTGAAGGGGCGCCCTGCTCTGGTTGGCGGTTATTATCAGCTACACTCTCTAGGCAGCAGCCAATGGGATCCCTCCCTTCAGTCCCTAGAACGCAGTGGGGGGTTTTGGACAAAGAAGGTAAACAGAAGGGGGGAAAGTAATCCCCCTCCCCACTGTGACATCAGGGGTGTCTCGGCATCACAGCCTCTTTATGAACAATAACAGAGTTTTATCCTAGTCAGCCCTGTCAGGGTGTCCTGACTCGTGTCTAATTCTTTGCTTCCGTTATATGTGCAGGGTTCCAGAAGCAGCACGCCCTCCGTCTGTGTAAAAGCTCTGTGTTCATTCAGACATCACCTTCCCCATCTCTCTATGTCCTGCTAATCATGCTGGTACCATTGCCTGCCGCACCTGCTGGTTCCCTGCTCCTCCAACTCAATGCCGTTGCCCATCCATGGCTGTGGATTCCGGCTGCCGGAAAATACCCCTTCTCTAAGACTCACTTCAGGCAGAGGAGGTGTGAAGGGACCTGCCGTAGAACAAGGACTAAGTGCCTCTCCATTAGACGGCCAGCCTTACAGGGTGTCAGCAGCTCCAATTCGAGGTTCTGCTGCTGCTCACTGAAGTTACACAGATACGTTGGTTGAAACTCCATCTCGTCAGGTACCATCGGATCATGGTATCACCCGAAGAAGCGTGTGCTTTTAATAACCGGTACAGCCTTAGCTCGCCGTGTAGGCCGTTGAACCCTGAGCACCAGGGATGAGACCGTGTGTTCCAGGGCATTTCCCCCTGAGGCTGATGGAATGGCCGTTCTGTGTAGATCAGTTACTTATATATACCACTCAGGCACACGCTTTATTCTCTAGTTCCTGGCTGACAGTTTGCTAAATGGTGTCGTAATGAGTGTTCCTGAGAACAGCACAGTAAACATATGTCCACTTTGTCTGTTTAGAATTAAACAGCCTAGAAATAAAATAACTAATGTGAGAGACCTCCATGTTCCAATGCACTGAAAAATCCAACAGGATTGTTTTCTCGCTTAGCCTCACGCTTTAGCTGATTGGCCTGCTCTGTGTTCCTTAGCCTCACGCTTTAGCTGATTGGCCTGCTCTGTGTTCCTTAGCCTCACGC